CAAATCAGGTACCACTTCCTTCGATCATTGTTAGATGATGGACAGTTGCTACTTGAGAAAATTTGTGGAAGCAAAAACCCTGCTGATATGTTGACTAAGGGTGTTACACTTGAGAAACTGAAGTTGTGCATAACTTTAGTTGGTCTTCTGGCATGAAGACAAGATTTTTGAGGCAGAAGTGCAGGATATCACACTTGAGGAAAATGGCAACGTAGTCGGTAGATGATGCAGTCAGTGTCCCAGTATTCAAGTGGGAGAATTGTTGGTTTATGTGGAACCCAGTCCATTTCATCCTAAATTGGAGGTTTTTGCGTCCATGTAATATATTTGATAACTATATTGTTTCTTTAATTCTTTCCTTTGAAAGAATTACTCGCGGTTTCCTTATTGGTTTTCTCCCGCTCAATCGAACTTCTCCCGTTCTCTTGCTCCCTATTATCGTGGTAAAGAGGGGGAGCTTCGCCTCTCCTGTCGATGAGTAGCCCAGACGATTGAACCAATCGAGGGCGCGGCGCAGCGAAGTATCGCGACAGAGGAGCACTGCCATACTGTTTTCACGAGACACAGAAAGTAGGAATTATTGGGTTCGACTGCCATCTTTTATGATTGTTTTCTTAATAACGGAAGATGCATCTAGTGTCTCAGTCTCTAAATGGGAGAATTGTTGAAAATATGGAAACCGGTCCACTGCTCAAATTAACAATTTCTTATATAGGCAGTTTTTTATTAAATTATTCTTATTTAATGACTCTTTAATTTCTTTCCTTGATAAAGCTTCGCCTGATCTTCCTATGGAGGATCCCGCCGCCTCTGTTTTCCCGTTTGGGATCCCACCTCCCTCTCCTCTGGATTTCGCTTTTTTTTTGCTTACCTTAATGGGTCAAACAAATAAGGTAGGTGATTAATAGAAGATATCGCAAGGTGGCTTCCAGTCGTATATTTCTTCTTCAGCGTTGGCTTATAAAAAGGCAGAAGAACCGCAATCCATACTATCTAAAGTCTTCTTCGGTTGTGTGCGTTGCTTCTAATTTCCCTTCTTCTTTTCTTCGACTCTAGCTCTCGGTTGGCTTTCGGTTTAGAGAGAGAAAGAAGGTGAAGAGAGAGTGAGATGGAGGAGAAAGAGAATTCTTTTCTTGTAATGGTTGATGCGATCGATAGTGAAATCCTTGAAGCAATGAAATTCTCTGCAACTTCGTGAACGTAGACAATTTGCCAAATCACAAAAATCTGTGGTTCTTTCTGTTTTGCAAATTTCTCGTTCCAATTTTTCACTTTATTGTCATCATCTTTCACAATAAAGGCTATATCTAAGGATTGTGCAACACAAAACAACTGAAATAAGGTAAAAATACCTTTGAGGATGCAGAATGTAATGGTGTCATGGATGTGAATTTCATAAACTTATGTATAGGGATATAACTCTCAACTAGTGTGGAAGAATGTTGTGCTAGCTATCCTAGCACCACCATTGATGGAACCTCTTTTTGCCGTGCACTTTGTTGGGAGGTCGAAAAAGGAAAGAAAAACTATAGTTGGCGAGATTGAAGTATGTCGTGCCACCTTCCACCTCATGGGAGTGAGATGGAATAATTCTCCATGCCTAAATTTAGCTATGATCAATAGAGAAAAAATCAATCACTGAATATGTAGGGTAAAAGAAACATAAAATAGAACCCAAAATGTTAGAGTGATTAAGTTGCCCTGAATGACTAATCTTGCAAGGCACTAGCAATAGCTTTTTATTAATATCAGTCTAGTCTTATAAGGCTGGTTGTTGTTACTGTAGAGAAAGAGATAGAAATTGAGAAATGTAGAGGAAGAAGTGATTAGAGTAGAATGATGTTGAGGACTTTGTATTAGTGCCCTTAGTAATTTCATGTTAGTTATGCCATCCATTCTCTTGATTGTTATCCTCTTAAGGGTATTTGTAGGTGTAACATCATCGTTAATGGAGACATTGTGATGATATATGTTGAATCTCTAATGGTTCTTAAGGTCACACCCAAGGGATAAAACATTCATCGGATGAGAGGAATAAGTGAATGTAGAAGGAGAGTGATAAAGTGGCAAATAATACTAATTTTATGGGAATATATCTAGTAGTCTTTTTTGTGGAAATGGATCACAAGGTGTATCTAATAAATTACATGATTATTCCTCCTTTAACTGGAATGTTACAATGAACTTATAGGACATTACAACCTTACATATTGGTAATCAACTTTGATATTTTTTGGCTCTGATAACTACTGTTGATGCCTTTCCATATTTCTTACTGCTACCTACACCATTTCTTATTCGTAACTGCTTGTTTTGGTTATTTGATCTTCGCTCGATCGGCTAAAAGTCATTTTGCCAACTACAGATCTTCGGTCAGCTACTCTGAGGAAGCCCCTCGTGAAGCCCTATTCTTTTTAAGAAGGATTATTTCATTAGGCATAGGGTGCATCGCCGTAATCTGATGGTCTGCCTTCTTTCGGTCAAGAGATCTTCATAAAAGGTCTGGTGGTAGTCCCCGCTAAGCGACCGTTGATTTTGTGATTGCCCTTGCATCGGTTAAGTTGCTATCGGTTTAAGTGTCTTGTGTTCTTTAGTTCAGATGAACTTTCATTCAGCCGGCCCATGATAAGACCAACCAAAAGGATGCTAGGTAGCTCGATCCTTTGCTATTTTCTTCACGTGATCCGTTGAATTTCTTAGAGATTTGTGCAATTGCATTTTTGATGTATTGTATAGTCTTGAGACTATAATATTGCCAGGATGTTACGAGGTTTTTGGGATTGGCACGTGATTTGATTACACAAGATGTTGCAATGATATTAAATGTTGCAATTAATATGCCAAAGTAATAGTTTTATAGATACGAACACACCAATAATCATATGGAAGTTATATGAATGAGAACATACTTCTCAATGTTTGAGTGGGTTTCGCAAGTACTCCAGGATCTAATTCATGTGGATATCTAGGATGCGGTTACTTATTGTCATGAAAATCAAAATTGAACTTTTGATGCGCAGATCTTTGGTCAGCTACTCTGAGGGAGCCCCTCGTGAACACGTATTGTCCTTAGGAAGGAATATTTCATTAGGCAGAGGGTGATCTTCATAGATCTTGTGAGTGCCTTTGCATAGGGTAATCTGATGGGCAACCTTCCTTCGGTCATGTGATCTTCATAGAAGGTCAGGTGGTAGTCCTGCTAAGCTACCGTTGATCTTGTGATTGTCTTTGCATCGATTAGGTTGCTGCCAGTTTAAGTGTGTGGTGTTCTTTAGCTTGGATAAACTTTCATTTAGTCGGCACATAATACGACCGACCGAAAGGATGCTTGGTGGCTCGATCCATTGTTATTTTCTTCACATAATCCATTGAATTTCCTAGAAATTCGTGTAATCACATTTTTGATGTATTGTATTGGTCTTGAGACTGAAATATTGCTAGGATGCTGTGAGGTTTTTGGGATTGTCACTTGACTTGATTGGATAAGATGTTGTAGTGATATTAAATGTTGCAATTAATATGCCAAAGTAATAGTTTTATAGGTACTAACACACCAATCATCATATGGAATTTATATGAATGAGAACATACTTATCAATGTTTGAGTGGCTTTCGCAAGGACTCCAGGATCTAATTCATGTGGACAGCTAGGATGTGGCTACTTATTGGCATGAAAACCAGAGTTGAACCTTGGATGCACAAATCAATACGTCCCTTTTTGGGTGTTATGAGGAAGTTCCACTTTCCTCTCATTTATGGGCTATGTATACCACCTATACACGTTTTTGGTAATATGATGGGGGATATGATTATAGCTGTAGTGCCGCACACGCCCATTTGTTTTTCTTGACATGGTAGAAAGGCTTGTTGCATTTTTTGGCACCTGTTTAACTAGAGTGATATGAAACACCATCTAAAGGTTATTTTTTCCAAAAAATGGGATAAAAAAGAATGACTAAACAATAAGCATGAGTGCAAGTTTTTGAACAACATGATGATGCCTCTGCAAGCATGCAAACAAAAGAAAATATAACAAATTATTTTGTAAGAATCTGGATAAAAATAATCCTTGAAAAGGCAATATTATAAACCAAATTGCCAGCACAAATGGATTTTGAGGTGTGCTGGAAATTGTAAGAAAGATGCATCAAAAAAATGTGGAATGTGGCTCAACAATAAGCTTACAAAGGGACGCATCATAAAGTGTACACATCAAAATATTGTGCGATGTGATGCTGAAAGCATGCATAGTGGAGCTTCAGAATGCATGCAAAGTGTAACATTGAAAGGTATGCAACCACATTCAAAAGCATGTGAATATGTGCAAATAAAAACTACATGATACATTGAAAAGCATGCCATAGCATACACTTGCGAACATCACAATAGCGTACCCATCAATCCAAGATTGAAATATTGAACTTAAAATAACTTTAAAGCTGCATGCGCAACTTTTAAGTGAAATTTTGACGCAAAGTAAATCAGATTTTGAGTATCAATCAATAATATTAAAAGATTATGTGATAGCTAAGTCTGATTGGTTAAAATAATATGATTTATTGTGGATAGAAATGGGGGGATGACCTCTAGATTAACGCGAGGGTGTTAAAATAGGGAATTAACTTGAGTGCCATGCAGTAGAATATTGTCATGATATTGAAGCAGATTTTTAATACTGCAATGAATGTAATTTGACAGTTTGGCTAAATCATTAATAGAAACTTTGTGGTAGATTTGAGAATTTGAATATGGATTCAATGTAAAGTTGTAGGAGTTTATTTTAAATAGATTGGCAAAGTTATTTATGATGAGGTATGAAATTTGCTTAATTCAAGCCTATTAAATGAGGATAAGCGATGCAACAATAAAACGAATAAGATGTAATTAGTATGAAAGAACTAAGAAATGGATAGAGCAAACGTAACAATGTTACAAATTGTGCAAAATCAACACCTCTTGTAGTATTTAATTAGGCCTGAATCACTTTATGTTTCTTGCAGCTCGTCACCTGTGGCAATTGTTCTTTAGAAACATCCTATCAGATTGTACCTAGATGTGCGTATACCTCCATTGAATTGTATGAATGCAAAGCATGGAATTTGTCTTTAGCTCCTTGTATAGCTCATTCATGGACTTTGAGACACTCTGAGGTCAGTTTTTTTTTCAACGTTTTTCTATTTTTACCCCAGAGGTCAGTTATTTATTAATCTGGTACTTTAGTTACTTTTGATTTATTTCTACCTTTTAAAATTGTTCTTTCGACCAGTAAACTACAATTTCATCTATGCTAGGATACATCTGTTACATGCTAGTCAATTTCATGGTTGTAACCTCAACCAGTAATTAAAAGTTGATCCATGGACTTTCACTTTCATGAATCTGTGATCGTTGTGGAAAGTGCCATCAGGGAGTTAAAGGAGGGCAAATGTAATATTGAAATTTGTCGTCTCATAATTTCATCTAATGTTAGGCTACACCAATCACATGTAATCTATTTCACAGCTGTAAAATCCGACATTCCTGTTAAAATTTTGTATTATGGCATTTTCACTTATATAATTGTATGATAATTTCACAAAACGACATCAAGGAGCACGCAATTGATACATGACATCTTAGGGTTTAGTGTTCACTAATGCAAACTTCATATGAAATGCACAAAGAAATGTGCCAAAGAATAATTATAGTCGTTCACAGAAAAAATAAAGCAAATTTTTTAATCTTATTAAGTATTGTGAAGGTGTTGTTTGTTTGAAAGACATGGTATGACACTCTTCAAATACTTCCTTTACATTTGCTTTAAATTCTATTTTTGTGGACACTTTATTGTACATTTCATGGGCACTTAACAATTATAACCATGTTTCTGAGATATTTATATGTGCTTGTACAATTTATAACTCTGGAACCTAATTCATTACTTTTTTGACATTAGCTTGCATAGAACTTCAGTATTAATCCATGTTCTAATTGTTGTATTGCATCTTTTGCGATATAATTTATAATCTGTCCTCCGAATGTCTCTCATTCACGCGTAGTTGTCCCCGCTTTGTGATATAATAACTTCTGCAGGTACAATTTGAATATACCCATCCGTGTTCTGTGGCCCTTACTATGTCATGCTTTTTATAATTGGGGCATTTACATACATAGCACACAATTTTTATGTATTTACATATCTCACACCTAAACTTTCATATTTACACACATAGCACTCAAATCTTTAAGACCATGCAAAAAATATCATAATTTCCACTTTTTAAAAAGTGAAATACACCTTTTTCATGCATAGGTTTAAAGCACCAAAGTGCTTTGTACGAAAATAGGAAATTCTTGGTACGAGAAATGTCAATACATAAGAATTGTGTGCTGCATATGTAAACTTCTCTTTATTATTGATTAGTTTGATGACATTCAATGTTTGATTTGTTATTGTTATTCTGTTTTTCATGTCATTTTTGACAGAGGCATGTGACGGACTTTTATGTATCTACTCTGAATAGTGGGACAAGAGTCCTTGTAAGAGCTGGAAATGGAGTTAAGGTGGTTTCTTTTATTAAACCTGCAATCACTTTGCGCGTGTCAATGAAAAACAAAGAGCAGTTTCCTTCCTTATTGAGATGGCTGCAAAATCACAACATTCCCAACAATGACCTTAAAATGAGATTTGAAGAAGGGTAACATAAATACTCTCCAAAATAGGATTTAAGCGTGAAAAGTTTGAGCAGCTATTCATATTTACTGTTAAATGCTTCTTTTAAATAGCTTCTATGTTAATCAATCATAATGGAAAGTTTGTTTTTAGAAATGAGGAAACCATATAAATAAAATCAAAATGGTTAATCATTAACAAGCAAGAGTAATCGAACTATGAGATTTAACTGTAGCAATATCTTCGATGATCAATGCTTGTGCTTGCATATGGTTTTTAGTTCATGTGACATATCGTATGTAATTTTCAAAGATTTTTATTCTCAAAATTTGTAAGACTGCATTTTTAAATGATTGGATACTATAGCAGAGAATCAATCTTGACAGATTCTTAGTGATGAAAGTACCAGAACAATAAGAGGGTGAGTGGATTATGAAACTCAATAGACCTTGCTAGAGATGCAGCCTTGGCAAGACAAGGCTGGTCGTGAAGAAGAAAATACTCTTCACCTCCTTTCTGTTTCCTCCTTCAAGGTTTGACGTGTAGTTTGTAGCAAACTTGTCAATTTAAATTTGTAAATCAAAATAAAATTGAAGTCTTAAATTCTATACCAGTCCTTCACTCTGGGTTTCCGTTATTTTCCTATCCAAGTAAAAAAAAGGAAGTATAACAGGTTAACGAAGCTTTTGTCATTGCAATATTTTGAGAGGAGCTTAGATGTGTAACCTTACATTTACATTTTTTTTGGTAATTTGCGCTTTCCATCTTCATATTGCCATTGCTTTGGCCGTCCCTCATTTTATCTAATGTTTTACCAAATATTCAATTTTATAAGATGTATATGAGAAAAATAAAGGTTAAAAAAACACAGAGAAGAGAAAAACTCTAGGTTATTTTATTTTTATTTAACTAAATAGTTTATAATTATTATAAAACATGAGATAGGTGATGTTATTTGCAATTGAGAAAAAAACAATGGTTTTGATATTCAACAGCTAACAATAATTAAATGGCAAAAGTAAAATAGAAATAGGATATTTGGGAAGTATCAGTGTGAGAGGGAGAAAGGGAAAATGAGCATAATATCAAGGGAGAAAATGAATAAGAGGGAACTGGAGATGAGCATAACATTCCCTCTTACCTAATTTTCTATTCCCCATCTCCAGTTCCCTCTTATTCATATAATAAAAAGTAGAAATAGAATTACATAAACAATGTTCATATAATGGATACCTTACTTAAAAATGCATATTATACTATTGTTTCTATTTCTACTTTCATTTCATAGCTATAGTTATTTTATTTAATTTGTGTACAGTTCATTTTCTCATTTTATTTAATTATGTTTTTCTTTCACTTAGATATGTAATTCTTGTTCAATTAATTTTATTTATAACCTTTTATTTACATAAATAAATTCTAGTTTATTTTTATAAATAAGTCTTCAATTTCTCAATTTCAAGGTACTTATAACTTAATATTCAATTTAAATTATAAATATATATCATTATAATTGGTTAAACATCTTTTAGTTTTATTCAAGCATTACAACAAAATTTCTACTTCTATTAAGAACAACATCAATCATTTAATATCATTTTAACTTTCAAGTTTTTTATTATCTATAGATATATATTTGGATTTATTTTGGTGCCAAGATCCTCTTTAGAATTTAATTTGAGTGGGCTTGGTTGAGCTATTTCACATTGCAGGTTCGAATTTACAATTTCTTCCAAACCTATTATTTCTTTCATGTTGGTGCATTAAGTCGAAATCCGTTCAATTTCCTTGGGCTACATCTGTTATTTTCTGGACCCTTGCATACCGACTTTAAACTTTCCTTTTTTTTGTTGGTCAAATAACTTTCTCCATAGATGTTACTCTTGCGATTTCTCTAATACTTAGTTTACCTCAAAATCATTCAAGCATGAAATTTAGCTTGTTTGCTTGCGTTTCATTTCTTCCTTAGTTGATCTGTAGACTTCGGCTGGTCATGTTTTCCTTACATTTCTTCCTTATAAGCTGCTGTCTATCACAATCATTTATTCTCACCTGCTGCCTACTAATATTAGTTTTCTTATGTTTCATTGCTACATTTTCTTCATCCCATTGAAACAATAAACAAGACAACCCTGGTTAGTGGAGGAAAATATTTGTCCTGCATTGATTTTAGTTATAATAAGAAAATAAGTACTTTAGTAATAGTTTCCAAAAAAAATTTGGTACAACTAAAACATGTTGAGAGTGATAATAATTATTGTCCAATCAAATTTACACAATGAAATATATGGACAAATCCGTGTACTCTAAAGGCTTGTTTATTATAAATTAATTATTTCCTACCAACAAATCCGCTGAATTGTAATGGAATTATCCTACAAACAAGATTTAATGTTGTGTTAAGCTATTTTCTCTATACTAAATTTTTATATGAATTTTTACTATGAAATTCAGAATTCCTGGTTCAAAAGTATGCTGTAGTGATTATGCTATTACTTGTGACATTTGTTTCTCATAGCTAGGTAAATAAGTGCTTTCAGAATCTAGCTCACGTGGAATTGCTCTGCAATTTTATTTTTTGTACAAGATTCAAGGTTCCTAAGCATTGTTTTCCTCTGTTCATTCTCTTCCATATCTGCATCTTGAAATAGGTATATCAGAGAGGGAAGCACTGTGAGTGTTATAGGCACTCTCAAAACGCACGAGAACATAATTATGATTGATCCACCCGATGAAGCTTCATCGACCGGTTGGCAATGGAAGAGATGCTTTTTACCGATGCACGTCCAAGGACTCATCCTTGTGGGAGATGAAACTCCACCAGAGGAGCTATGCCATGTATAAATATGTTCTTTGAGGCAGATTTAATGGCGATAGATTGGTACATGTATATATATCCTTGGCTTTCTGCAGGCTTTTTCATCATGCTACTGGACTGCTATGGAAGACGTGTGCAGGAATTATGGTTGCTTCATGGTTTGGTATTGAATATGTCTTTATTACATGTGAGTTCTTTGGAAATAGTTTTGTTGTGTGGTGTTATTCATGTGTTTTATGTATAATAGTAAAATCCAATAAATGCTGTGGTTGGTTAGATTATGAAGGCGGCATTCATAATTGTGAAGATTGTATTGATCTGGCATTGCATATAGAGCAGAAATGTATATGAATGTTTTGTTTTCAATGGTAAATTTTGTATTTAACAAATGTGACTGAGATTTATGCTGCCTGTCTCAATTTTTGGATGAGGCTGGATTGAACTGCTGTAAGAACTCCTAAGCCAAGGACTACAAGAAAAATAAAGTTTTAAAAGTAATGAACTAATCAAAATAAATGCTGTTACAAAGCGAACCTGCTTGTTAAAACATGAAATGTAGCAGTACTGGTCTGAGAATGGTTATAAAAATTAGGGGCATTTACCTACATAACGAACTGTTCTTATGTATTGACATGTATAACACCTAAACTCATATTTACACGCCTGGCACCCTTTAATATCACAAAATAACACTATTACCTTTCCTTAAAAGTGAAATGCAATTTTTCATGCATAGATTTATAGAAGGAAGGTGTTGCATATGTAGATATGAAAGTTAGGGTGTGAGATATGTGAATACATAGAATTGTGTGCTATGTAACTTTCCCTAAAAGTTACACTCAATTATAGGTAGGGCTGTCAAAAAAGCTCGTTGTTCGCGAACAGTTCGTGTTCGGTTCGTCAATGAGTTCGTGTTCGATTCGTTCGATAAGTAAACGAGACAATCGCAAACAAATTTTTTTCGTTCGGTTAGTTAAATGAACCAAACACGAACAGTAATGCGTTCGTTCGTGTTCGAATCGTTATTGTTTGAAATTTAAAATAATATAAAATAATTAAATATAAAAAAATTATTATATTTTAAAACATTAAATTTTATAAATTATAATATATAATAAAATAATAATAATAATATATTAATATACTATAGTAGTAATATACTAATATAGATATTGTATATTTATATAATATAAGTTATATAATTAATATATAATATTATTTTTATATATTAATATTAGAGATGACAAACTAGCTCGTCGTTCGCGAACAGCTTGTGTTCGGTTCGTGTTCGACTCGTTCGTTAAAAAACGAACACGAGCTTATTTCAAACAAACTAAATTTTAAACGAACCGAACACGAACACAAGCTTTGTTCGTTCGTGTTCGGTTCGTTTACACCCCTAATTATAGGTTGAATTGGTTGAAGCATGAATTGGTCATCAAAATGGTTTGGTTTGATTTGTAGAGTATTCTATTAATTTATAAGAACTTTGTGGTCAAATCTCTCAACAATTAATTTTGGAGCGTTTCGATTGGTTTTGAGTAGAAATTGTGATGAAGAATGCTGCTATTGAAGCAATGGTGTTTAAATGCAGTTTTTTATTTTCCTTCATTTTTTTGGTATAGATTTGTCATATTTTATGATATTATCTATGTACATGTATCCTTTATTATCTTCATTTAAATTTTAAATGCTGTTTTTAGGTAAATTATATATGTACATATATAATTTATTATCATTTTACGAAATTGTGATGAAGAAATGCTGTTGATGAAGCAATGGTGTTTACATGTAGTTTTTTTATTTTCCTTCATTTATTTGGTGTAGTTTTGTTATATTTTATGATTATATGTATGTGCATATATAATTTATTATCACTATCTCTAGTTGAAATGTAGTTTTTAGATAAATTATATATGTACATGTTGAATCTAAAAATGTCTTTCGAAATATACCTAAGGAATAAGAGTGTTGGACGAAAATGAGAGAGAGAGAGAGAAAGTAAAGTATAGTACATAATAAAACAAGTTCTCTGAGAATAAATTCAGTAATCATTTCTTGAAGGAATGACCCTATATTTATAGACCAAAGGGATATCTAGTAAAATTATACGTTTATCCCTGTTTCAATATGGATGCTTCAAGTAATTGGTGTAAGATTATACTTTTTTATATTTGCAGTTAACCCTTGGACTCTTTAATATTTGTAACTGATGTAGGTACTGTTTCATTTTTTATATTTTTTTGAAGAGGGGCATTTAATGAACCGCTGATATAAAAAATTTGTCATATGATAATCGTTTAGTCGGTTGGAAGGCTTTCGGTGGGCCTTCTCGAGAGAATCCTTAGTAGAGGCCCTTTTGTCGTCATGGTGAAATTAGACCATCAGGTGAAGGGTGTATCACCGTAATCTGACGGGCAGTTCTCCTTTGGACAAGGGGCCTTCACAGATGATTGGAAATATATTCAATGAGGTGTCCATCGATCATCTTTATGAAGAATATCAGAATCGGTTGAGGGATCGGATTACAAATGTTTGTCCATCAGTTCAGGTTCATAATGCTATTTTGTTCAGCTATACTTTCATATTTAGTTTTCCGACTCTCTTATTTCTTGAAAGTGATAACTGCGATAATAATAATATAATTAAATGAAAAAATTGACTTTTTTATTATGTAGTAAGTACTTTTAATATTTGAATTCTCTGGATTTTCGTGCATGTATACCTTATAAATAGAGCATGATGAGCATTTTTTCATCACCATTTCCAGATTTTCAACTTTTTAGTCATTTTTTAACAAAGAATAATGATGACAAGGGGCGAGAGACCTGCAAGTGAAGAAGTCTTATTGAGGCCATTGAGATTTTAACCGAGAGACTCTGCCATCCCATAAGAGAGAAGAAGAAACTTGAGAGTACTCAGTCGACACCAAGAAAAAAATCTATAAATGAGGGTCGACCGTCAGGAAAGAATCCTGACGGTGAAGAATGACCAGTCAACTCAAAGAGACTGGGAGAAGGGATTCAACTAGGGTGAACAAAATTGATCAAGAAAACAGTAAATAAGAAACAAAGAGTGGAGGACTCGTCCAATTGATCGTGCTTGTTGCCACCCCGTGAGGTGGGGGCACGGTCGAGGTGCACACCTATGGTGCATCAGTCCTTGCTTCAGATCTGCTTTAACAACGGTCGACTCATCAGCCGACACAACAACAGGTGCAGCGGTCGTGGTGACACAGGTCAAGCCTCGTGACGGTGTGGTTCTCCTACCTTTGGCCGACGAGGCTAGTGATCCACCTTAAAGTTACTTATTCTTATGTACATTTCATGCTCAATATTTGAGGATATTATGTAATAATGAAGTGTATTTTTATATATTTTGTTGCATGTGTAAGAAAAGAGTTTAAGAGTAAAAAATAACAAAAATACATAAAAAAAGAAGCAAAATGGACTAAATTGAAGAAAAGTACCAAACCAGCTGAACTGGAGCCTAGGTGTTAGATGCAGAAATTGGTTGGTGTCTAGGGCTATCAAAAAAGCTCGTTGTTTGCGAATAGTTCATGTTTGGTTCGTCAATGAGTTCGTGTTTGATTTGTTTGATAAGTAAACGAGATGAACGTGAACAATTTTTTTTCGTTCGGTTAGTTAAACGAACCAAACACTAACAGTGATGCGTTCGTTTGTGTTCGAATTGTTATTGTTCGAAATATAAAATAATTTAAAATAATTTATATAAAAAATTATGATATTTTATAAAAATTAAATTTTATAAATTATAATATATAATAAATTAATAATAATAAAATATTAATATACTATATTAGTAATATACTAATATAGATATTATATATTTATGTAATATAAGTTATATAATTAATATAATATATTATTTATATATAATAATATTAGGGATGTCAAACTGGCTCGTTGTTCTTGAACAGCTCGTGTTCGACTCGTGTTTGGCTCGTTCGGAACAAAGACTTCATGAACAATTTTAAACACAAACTTATTTCAAACAAACTAAATTTCAAACGAACCGAACATGAACACAAGCTCTGTTTGTTCGTGTTCGGTTTGTTTACACCCTTACTGGTGTCTAAGTGCCATAGTTATTTTCTAGAAGATTTATTGAATGAGACCGAATTTTGAAGAGATGTCTGAAGCAACCCTTGGTCATTTTTGAAGCTCTATAAATATGGATTAATTCCAAAAGGCTAGGGGTCAGATCTATAGAGTCTCATAGTGTGTGAATGTGTCAAGTGTGTGAGAAGTTTTCTTTGTGAGTGTTTGTTTTTCTGGAGTTTGTGAGTCTTGTAAGTGCTATTAGAGTCAGAGAAGTCAGAGAACTTCAAAAGAGTGCTTGGGGGAACATTCAAGGTAAGTCTTTGTATCTTTGTCTTTAATTCTTGTACTATGTGTTGGAGTTTTATAAATATGTTTTATTTTGTTATCTCCATGCTTCTTGAGCAGTTTCCTTTATTTCTCCTAGCAATATGAAGTAAATAAGTAAGTGATTTTGATTTCATTTAGGATTTCTTATATTCCTACTTTTATTCCTAAAAATTCCTAAAAATTGTGATGATACTTTTACCGGTCCTTCATTTACTTTACAAATTGGTAACTTGTATTGTTAAAACATGTTGAGGAACTTATAGTCCCGAAAGGGCCAAGATTTCTTAGCTTGTAAGTAATTAGACCCGAAAGGGCTAAGATTTCTTGACTTGTGAGTGTCACATTCTACCTTGGAAAGATCAGTCACGATCATCTAAATGGGGGTGCAAATAAATAGGGAGATAAGATTTGATGAGTATATAATTGATATTTCTAGAGTGACAGGCTAGATTCTTTTATCAATTTAGTCTAGATACTAGAACTAAGGGTCACTGAAAGGTCTTATAAAGAGGGCACAGTGGGTAATCTAGGAGTGAGAGACTAGAACCTGCCCAACACTACTATACATGTCGACATCAACTTTTAATTAGTTAATGCTCTTTGCACATTTTGAAAGAAATAAAGAATATATATGCTTATATTTGGTCACAATACCACATTAAAGTTTTTAAACAATTTTAAAATCATACAATGATTATGAATTATTGGCAAGAAGAAAGCCTCTTTTTACATATTGTTTAAGTCATTATATTTACTTTTACTTGCATGTTGTAGAATTTAGTAAACTTAATTTTCATCTTCAGGTAGTTGTTGTAATCTTAAGTAATGTTTTCTCAAAGTCAAAATTCTTGTATTTCATTCCATTGTTTTCTTGTTTACGGCTTCCTCGTGGAATCGATATTGAGGTTTTTAAGGAAAACACTATATTACTTGAAACAATACATATACTTGTGTAGTACCCCCAGGGAGAAAACTATTTCTTTAATTTTTATCATATT